TTTATATGCCAGCTAGATCTATGCTAAGTTTACTAGTATATCCCAACCATTTCTTTGGACATAGCACATTTGTTGAAGAAAATGTTTTCTCCACAAGCTCTTGACTGCGATCGTTCTGTTTGTATGACAACTGTATATTATAATGATCCGACGTGAATTAATCTTCGGAAATCGCTTTATTGTTTTTCGAAATATTCTCCCTTAAAATCAATATATTTTGCATGTGTGTGAGCCAATTTTCGAAGCACTTCTGCCACTCTGTTTGAAGTATCTCCAAAACATGCGTTCTGAACGTATCAACCGCCTCTTCAGGTATCAAAAAATGTTGATCTCTTAGTTTATTTTTTTGTACGGGAATAAAGAGAAGTAATTCGGTGCTAAGTCAGTGCTCATAGATGTGTTTCGAAGCACCGTTATTTACCTCCACCAATCGACACGAGCGATCGACAAATTGTGTGGGCTCTAACGTGAACAAATATTTTTGTTTTTATTTCAAGTTAATGTAAAGAACACAAGTAGCGGCCATTTGTCGAAACGTGCCGAGTATTTAAACATCAAAATGTCAAGCCTTAAATCAAGTTGACAGTTGCCAGATTACAACTCTAGGGCTGCCAAATCCGTAAATATAAAAAGCTTTGTTACATAATTTCATCGGTTCTGACAAATGAATCTTAAGGAGAAAAGGTCATTGCAATATTTCCGATCGATATTTTAAAAACTGAGTGTCTAGTTCGCGTATATACAGAACGGAGAGACAGCTATACACAATAGTGGTCCGTCTGAAAGACCTGGGTAATAATCTTGTGCCAAATTCCGTGAAGATATCTTGCGTAATAAAAAAGTTCTCCGTACATCTATTCCCCAGTGTTTCCGACGTTTCCTTTAGAGTAAAATTGGTTTCTTAATATATTATATGTAGCCCTTGCATACAGAATTGATAATCCCTATGGATAATTACGTGATTCTACAACAATGGATAATCTCAAGTTTACTTAGACCATTATTTTGACTGTTATTTTGAAAATTACTACTGGACCAATAAAAACATGAATACTGAACCAAAAGCCTTCCGGCTAGACAAATGTATATCATTAACGATGACCCTCTATCGAAGCTATTACTGTAAAATACCGCTAAATTATAGTGAAATTGAAAGCAAATATGACTGTCACGCCTCGGTAGGTATCTTAATTTTGCTCTTTCCTGAACATTTTGAGTCCGGGATTTAAGTTAACATTTGGAATGGGAATAGAGTAATAAATGTAAAACTATGTCGAAATTTCTATGTAAACTGTTGTCAAAGCTCGGTATTATGCCACTTTATTTAATTTTTACCATGTGCTTCTTCGTTTCTATACTCTTTCCTATTACTACATGAGCTCTGATACTATAATCTCTATGCCAATTTTCACAGTTTAATGCCAGTTGTTTCTTCGTTTCGTCACACTGTAAGATGTATTGTATCGAAGATAAGTAATAATTTCGTGACCCAATTATATTTGCATAAAAGTTGTAATGTATTGCTCGTAGAAATCTAGCACTTAAACTATACTACGATATTCTATTAATACTTTTCTAGTAAGAGTCCTACTGTTCAGAATTCACTACTCAATCTCATCTTCTCATTAGCATTAACAAAAACTTTATTTTGTCACTTTGTCCATATTGACAAGTTTTAAAAGGCTGCGAAAGTGACACAATTTGCAATTTTGGTTCTAAAGCACCCTAATTTATTGCTTTCTTTATTTGCTTTGAAATAATACTTTTTATTTATCGTTCAAACGCTGGAAATACACCTTTTGCCAATTACCTTTTCATTATTCTAACGCCAGTCACGCAGCAGAGAACGTGTTTGTTGCGTTGTTATTGTAGTTGGAAATTTGACTAATTATTTCTTAAAGTACGACATAGTGAGAAAAATACTTATGTACATATGCATGCATGTTTAACAGTTCTAGGAACTCTCGTGTTGTGAAAAAGTTAGTATCGAATCGTGAAGTGAAGTTGTGTGTGTTTTTATACCTTGAACAGGATATATTGAGTTTCCTACAAAGTCTGTAGCACATAGAACGTAGGAGATCTTAAAATATACACATACATACATGTTGATAGAGAAAATATTTATGTACACATATATCAATCTGAAATTTTGTACAATTTTTTATCTCTTGAAAAAGCTGCTTAGTGCTCAAACTGATCGATCTCAATTAAATTTTTGTATGGAAAAGTTTTTGAATTGACAAACTACATCTCCGAAATTTCGCATGAGATATTATCCAAGATAAGGTAAAATCTCCAAACCAATGGTTCAGATCAGACCACTTTAGCGTACAAACTAACCGATCGGAATCAACACAAAACTCTTTTTATAACCTTCTGTGCTATAAGAAAGTCGCCAGAGAAATGTATTTCATCTTTGGAGCGGTTGAAGTTAACATTTTATGGTAATTCTCCCATAAATATTTTATAAATAACTTTTCATATCAGTGACACGATGAAATTTCATTCAATATCAGTTGCTATCAGTACACTTGTATAACGGGGATTTTTTCAAAATCTTATCTGTAATTGTTTATTGGAATCGTTGTGAAATGCTTTCGGTATACTATTTTTCGCTACTTAACATCTTACACTAGATTTAACGAGGAGCGCTACAATTTGGGATATCAATAAAATTCTATATTCCTGTGAATGTACATTCGATGCCCTTATGTAAGTTCAAAATGTAATTATTTTGTTTAGAAACTTTTATTAATGATGTTAATAGTTTCACGCTTACATTACATCTGTCTTAACTAAGCTAAAGCACAAGCATATATTCCGCTGCTTTACCATATTGGTGCAGCAACAACTTACTTGTGGCTCCCTTTACCAAAGGTAAAATATCGTTGTTGCTATGATATCTACTCTTCAGGTGATCATGCTGTGAGCAGCTTCATCATTGCAATTACAACTTCTGAAGGTACCGTAACACTTCAGTGTTTTANTGCTGTGAGCAGCTTTATCATTGCAATTACAACTTCTGAAGGTACCGTAACACTTCAGTGTTTTATGCTTCACCTTCCGAATGTCACACATCAAAGAGTTAGCATGAAGAGCCCAGCATAAACGTGCGTAGCATTGAAAGCACTTGTATGTTATGTTAGCTGACTAATTCATCTTATGTTATATTAGCTGACTAATTCATCTTATGTTAGTTGCTGTCTTAACTAAGATTAACTTGTATATTTCTTTGGTATGGCCACCACGGTCATACTTGCAGAAGTTCAGACGTTAAATCGAATTTGCGACGGTTTTCAAGCATAAATCGGCCGATATTGCTGCAATTTCACGTTCGATATTCGTTTGAAGTTTATCAAGCGTCGCTGGCTTGTTGGCATAGACCATAGATTTGACGTAGATAACACGCTCACGAAACTTGGCTTTCAATAAATCGATTCTGACATTCGCTGTTTGGCTTGTGGCGGAGTCCTTTTGGAACCACATATTGTTCAAGTCCACATCATCCTAATCAGGTCAGAAATAATCGGCTTATCTGTGCCAGTTTTTATCATCACGGAAGAAGTACGGTTCAATGACTCCGCCGGCTTATAAACCGCACTAAACCGTAATTTTTTCGAGATGTACATTCACAGGAATAAAGAATTTCATTAATGTCCCAAAACGTTTTTGTTTTATTTAAGAAAACTTTCGTAACGCTCTTATTGAAAATTTTGTTCTTATAGTTCAGGCTACTGACTCCGAATTCGTAGTAAATTTAAATAATTTCGACTCGTTGTTGGATCGTATATCTTTCCATATTGAAATGGCAAACCTTACTAGAAAAGTGTCAAAAGAGCGTGAAAAAATATGGCGTCGTTTACAGTCCCTATCGTTCTACTTTTGTAGCGTCCTTAAAAATCCCGTTAAATGAATACTTCAAAGCAATCTTATTTAATTTTTAAGCATCTTTACTAAGGCTAGGAAGAACCGAATAGTAGGGACTAACTTTAATTAAATGAATATTGAGAAAATTGCTCGAATTTGGTACGAAATTTTTTTATTTCATGTAAGAACCAAGGTTTTACTCGCTGATGGTTTAGTTATCAAAAAATAAGATTTGAAATGCTTCCTCTCCTTGCCGGCGTATCTACTATTTACGTTCCCTCTCGTTCGATAAGTCGAAATACATCTTTGAACGCATTTTCGATTTGTGGGAGCGTCTGCAAACGGACCACTGTATAAAAATACTAAAAACGAAACATGGCGTCCCACTTCATAACTTTGTAATCTTATCTGAACGCTACTGATAAAAACAGCTGACAGAACTTAGCCTACTGGATGAGTTGAAAGTTTGTGAGTTCAGTTGTTGTAGAGAGAAGCTAGAGATACGTTTTATAGTATATACCTATGAGGTTATTTAAGGATTCATTTTAGTTTGAATTCATAAAGGGACAGCGGGATTTAGTTTTCTTCGACTAAAACACATAAAAGGTGAAGAAATATGCTAAAAATTATAGTTTTTCCGCAAGTATGTGTAATTCGTACTCATACTATTCGATTCGTGGCATAGTTAAGGTATTGTGAACTTTATCTGTCTCTGTGCTGAAATGCGCAAATTGATAAGTGAAAAAATTTAAATAGTGTTGAAAAATTAAACAGGAAAAACAACAAAACCATTACAATAACTTAAATACCACGTCAGGGTTCCGGCAACAAACAAAGAATATCAGCAATAAAGCAGAGACAGCAACAACGTGTTAATAAAGTTGAAATCCGATAAAAATACTATAAGTGATTTTTATATAATATAGAAAAAATTAATGCAAGCATGCGATTTCAAGTAAATTGGCAAAAAGTAAAAAAAGGTGAAAAAGAGCGTCAGCAGCGGACAGATCGTGAGTATTTTAAGGGTTAAAGCTTGTGAGAGAATGAGCGCTAAAGGAGCGCGAAAATTGGCGAATTGTGAAGAAAATGTCATAACTGCGTTGGCCAATATATTGCTTTCGGCATATGTACATACAACACATTCGTGTGAGTAAATCTATATTTCGGTTTCTTGCTTTTGAGCATTTCAAAATATTCTCCGCGATATTACCAATTTACACAGCTGCTAATGACATATTCACTTGCTAGCGTCTAAAGACTGACTATATCAGTTTGTGTGGAAGTTCTCATGCCTGCTTTTAGCCGTGTCTTGCTGCTTTGCTGGTTAGTTGAGATGTTTACTCGTGGTTTATTGGTTAGTTAGTTTAAGTAACTCCCGCTTGTCTGTTGGGCTAATGACGGGAGGAAATTAACTAAATTGCTTTAATTATCCGGATAATTTTTTGTTTTGCGCTGTTGCGTGAAAAATATTCATAGAAATTTTTTTTGTGTGCAAAACAAAGATAATGTAAGAATCGTGTTGTATCTGTCTTTGTTGTCATATTAATAATTAATTTATTTTACGCCGAATTTGATTACTCAATCAATAAACAGTTGCATATTGAATAGTTTTGTTGTGAGAACGAAGATTTTTCTTCAAAGTAGTGAAATATATATTTGAGTGATACAAAATGGGAAACAAAAAATAAAAAAATGTGGTGAATATCAATTATATTTAAATTCTTCAAATAATTGCAAAAAATGCGAAAAATATAAAACAAAATTTTTTAACAAACTTACGAAAATTAAAAATATTTTAATTAAAAAATTTAGAAACTAATGAAAAAAATTAGTTAACGGAACTTAAGTATACCATGACACCGCGTATTCTTCTATTTCTACCATGTCAAATTCAATGACCAGTCGTTGCCAAACCACTGAAAATGTTATTTTATTTTTACAGCAATTTATGTTTATTCTGTATCAAATTGACCACCCCTAATGATAGTTCTTTTTTAATTTTTTTTTTATCAAATTTGTCACCACTATTGATAGCTCTTTTTTAATTTTTTCGATGTAGTGGGAAAGCGTCTGGAAAAAGTTGCTCAATTGACAATTCAATTAAATAGACTTTTTTGTCATTGAATTTGACAAACTGTTAGCTGTGCCTTAGTACAGAAAGCTTTCTGATTCCCTAAATTAATGTGCATTCTGAGGCACTTAAGAGTAAAAGCTTGTTTTATTTTTATTTAATATTTTGTAAGGCCACGTAATTTTTATTTAAATTTTTAAAATTTTGGAAATATTTGTTAATAAATTGTAAAAGCATTATTTTAATATTATATAAAATGATATATGAAATATTAATGTTTTTTTAAGTATATACATATATCAATCATTTGATTTCGACCGTTGAGTGTTCCAACAAATGAACCGCCTCTTAGGTAGAAAAGACCGTGTGCATAATCAAATAGATATCTCAGATAGCTATCTCAAAATCCAAAGCGTATATGCATATGAAAAGCGGGACATGGCAGAATCGATTATATTATCGATATAGGGTCAGCGACCTTTCCGTATGGTGTTATAAACTTCGTGCCAAACTTAATACACCCTGTTCAGGGTTTAAAAATATTATTACCAAAACTTTGCTGACTACTTTAAATTATACCTTGAAGTTTTTATTTAGAAAAAACAATAAGTTTATTTTATAAAATATTTTTTATATATTACTTGTGGCATATCTTGTACAAAATACATATGTTTGTATGTCTGCATCTAAAATATACAAACCATATTGTGTGAAAAATTAATTACTCATCGGTGGCAGCGATTACATTGGCCGTGACAAAAATATTAGCTTGAAAGTGTGAAAATGTGGAAATTCTATTCGTGAAGTGTACGAAAGCCAAATGTGTGATAAGTTTGTGGAATTAACAAAATTGTTGTGGGCAACAACCGTAATAACCACAATGAAATCTGTTAAACAAGTGTTTTGACAAATCCGCAATAATTCTCTATTTTTAGCAGCAACGATAAACGAAGTGGGACATAAACAAAACGCAAATTCATGAAATAAAGATAAAGTACAATAGAGAAAAGTGAAGGAGAGCATAAAAGTACAACAAAAATTTGGTTAATAAGGCTGTTGTTAATAACAAATTATTAATAATTATTAAAAGAGACATAGAGAACAAAGAGAGTGAGCGGCAAAACGATCAAAGTTCGCACGGTGTGAGTAAAGCGAGAACTCTAGTGATACTGAGTGTGGGTGGCACGTCCAAGTTGAGATAAGCGCGCGTGCTCAACGCTTACCGACTACTCGCGCGAACGATAAGACCGCACACCCAAATGGCGGATGAGTGCGCCATCGACAGTCCGCGTCCGTTTCGACGTGAGCGCAATCTGAGCAATCGCAATTTCGCCAAACGTCGTTCCAACCGACGTATTAGCGTCGAGAGTCACAGCTCGGTGGAGTCATTTAATCTAAGTGCAGCTGAGAGTGTAAACAACGCTAGCTCAGTGAGCTCTGTGCATGAGCACAGTTCCAGCGCTAGCGGCAATGACAGTCAAAATCACAGTACGTCGACCAGCAGCGGCAGTAGTGGTTCACATTCGTTTAGTGTCGCTAGTAGTCAACTCGATTATTCCTACTCGGTACAATCGGATACGGAAAGTGCATTTTTACGCGCCTCTACGCGCAGAATGGTGCCACCACCGTTACCCATAACTGGGCCGCCGCTTGATAACGATGAGCCTACAGCTACAATAACAAATGATGACGAGACACAGCAACAAACGCCCGATCCCGCTTTGTTGGGTGTGCGACAGAAAGTTGATCGTTTCGAGACGTTGACAGCCGAACAGCGTATTCTCTTCAAAACGGGACGTCATCAGCTGCGTCAACAGCACCAACAATATTATGCGCAAACAGGTGAAAGAAAAACAACTGGTGTGGGTGGCATTTCAGCCGCCGCGCCTGGTTTATGGCGTGTCTTTCCGCCAGCTACGCGTCGTTCCACTCCCGAAACGGATAGCTCGGTGGCCAGCCGACAGTCGGCACTCAGCTCATTTCACACCTCCATCGATGAAGAGCGCTCCGTGGACGATGTGGATGAGATTTCCGACTATGCCGAGGATGCGCACGCAGATGCTGTCCTTGAGGCGGAGTATGCGGTGCCCGAGGAAGCGCATGAATTGCGCGAAGATGTGATGCCATCGCCAGAGCCTGGCTATATGCCGCCCACGGAGGCTGAGCAATTGGTGACGGCAGGCGTAGTCGAGTTGAATCTAGATGATTTCGGTAAGGTGGAGAAGGTGCGTCGCGTTGCCAGCGATGATTACGCACGCACAATGCCAAAGGCTCGCTCGAAGAAGCTGTCCGCGGAAGTTGAGTGTGGGGAAAAACCGGCGTCGAAAGATTTTCCGAGGTGAGTGGCCTTTTCTTACTTTTGATAGACGTGATTTTGTTTCGTATTGACTCTTGTTTAGTACGCCTAATTTCAGTTAATCGGTACTTATTTATTACTAAATCTTTCTTTAAGTTTCTTGATATCGCCATTAAATTGAAAGCCTCTGCAGCTCCTGAGAAAAATCTACGACAAACAGCCTCAGCCCAGTGGCTCAGTGATATCACAGAATATTTTTTGTTATAGGCTAATTATAATTTTTTTAGATGACTCAAAGTTGCTTCTAATTCCTTGTTAGATGGTTCTTCAAAAGTTGATATAGTGAGTGGACCTGTTTGGGTATGCTAGGTTACTTTATGAGAACCTCTAAAGTTTAGAAGAAATGATGCTGACGACGCTTATAAGCTCTAACAGAACTCTAAGGAACTGGGAGTTTAATTCACTAATATAATACTAATTTGAAGCATTTTTATACATTTTTAAAAAACCTTTCATTCTCAGCGCAATTAAAGCTAGATTAGGCGTACTGTTTGATGTTCCTCAGTTACATTTTCGAAAGGTAAAAACGAATGTGAACTAACTTTTATAATATTCTTTAACCAAAAACAAACAAATTGTTGCCAATTATTTAAATACATATTATATGTACGTAAGTATATCTGCTTGTACATTTAAAGTGTGTTTTCCTTTTAAATTTTACTCTAAACTTTGGCCAGTGGCCGCGTTTCATCGTTTTTTGTCGAAAACATGACGAATTGCTTCTGTTTTTAAGGTGTTCGCTGTGACACAAGTGGTTTTGGTTTTGGCGGTCATCGCATTACAGCTATAAATACTGAAATGTTTAAACAACAAAAACAACAAAACACTTGCTGCGCTCACTTTGTTGTTTACATTTCAGCTCAAAAGCAATAAAATATATTACCACACTTTCTAAACATAAGTTATTGGTATTTACATATATTTATGTACATATACATATAAGTATGTAAGTGCTTGTGCTTATAAGCACTAACAGCGAATTTGTTGTAACGCTGTATTAGTCATAAACTTAATTTTAACCTCGAAATTTACTTTCGACAGCTTAAACTGTCTTGCGTTGCTTCTGTTTGGCAGGTAACAGTCGAATTTACATAACATTCTAATTTTAGCAGCGAAATGTTAATGTGCGTACACTACTTTCGTTTACGCTATTAATATGCTGTTAATGATTTTAAATGCGCTGTGTAGCAACAGATGCGTAACATAAAATGTTGCGGTCGATTTATGCAAATTCTGTACTATTGCTGGGAATATTTAATTTAATTTAATTTAATTTTGTTTTATTTTACTTTATTTTACACAAGGGATTATTTGGACGCACGGAGGGTATAATTTTTGTCGCTAAAGCTCGCTGGTAAATCTGTTTGGTTATTCTTCCTCTTGAAAATGCCTTATTTATTTTATAGAAGTACATACAATTTTCTTCAGTCACATTTTTTTTGTTTCTTTGTGCTGTATGCGATTTATGAGCCAAAAATCGGTTAGACAAGTTCTCGTGCTTCATTACTTTGTTAGTTTTTAATTTTTATTTATTTTTTTTTTTTGATTTTGATGGCTCGAGAGTTTGTGCATGTAATCGTATTTGCCGTGGGTTGATATGGTTTATAAGTCACTTCAAGGTCACAGGCTCGAAATAAAAAATAATAAAATTTGATATATAAAATGCTATAATCAATAGTATTTTTCTATATATTTTATCGTCTACAAAGGCATAAAGCGATTTTTTGGCTATAAAAGATATCTGTTTTCAACTAAAGCAGGCAGTTTTATTGTCTTCTGCAAACTGACAACTAATGCAGCTAATCTGCGGTGTATGGTAACTAACTGCCTACTCTATCTGTTTTATTCAATTCACAGCTGGTTGCTTAGATTCTAGTGCCAATCATCTTTTCTTAGTTATTTTCGTTAAAAGTTGATATAAAACATTTTCGTGAAATTGTGTGCGTAAAAAGTTCAGCATGTTGAATTGTAAATTTTCAATTGTGTATTTTGTTCATGAGAAATACATTTAACATGCAGTAATAATCATATTTCATGTCCACGTGGGCGTATACGTAACCGACAAGCGACGTTGACACATTGTTTACACAGCGCTTGAGGCCCTGTCTAATTAGCGCAATAAGCAAGTGCAAATAAAAAGTATTTTTTCTTATTATTACTCGATTTGAATGCATCTTTTCCGAAGTGTGCGCAAAAATATATTAAAACTAAGATACATTAATACAAAAGTAACAAACACCATCCAATATACAAGTAAAAATATGCATTTAATACAATAATAAAATATTTTTTTGTTGCAATTTTCCTCTCTAAACCGAAATCTTAAAACTCCCATTATTTTTGAAGACACCTCGTATATTGAAAATGTCTAGCCCGCTATAAACAACCTTACCCCATATATTATAGCACATATGATAGGGAATTTTGTTTCTGAGGGAGACAGTCACCTATACCCTTCATACTGCAAGTTATATATCAGTCTAACTGTACATCATTTGTTATTTTCATTTATCAAGTTTGCTCGTCACATTTTTGTAGGAGTGTGTTGCATAAATTACAACACTAAGTACTCAAAAGATAATTTTTATAAAACAAATTTGATGATAAAACAAAAGATATCAACTTATCTAGAAAAAGTCCCGGAGAATATTAAAGCTCTATATTAAATGCTGTCTTATGTATGAAGAGTTTTTTTTATTGGCTAATATTAAGTAGTGGTCTAAAGGCATTTCAGACTGATCAAATTATGACTCAGTGTTTGTTGTAGGATAGCCATTCTCTTTATCTGCTCTCTTTGAAAAAAAGTGATATGTGAAATCTACAATAGAATTATCTGGATAATTTTAATACGACAGGGTATGCATATAACGTTAAAGTGGTATAACTTTTCTATGCTATGTATTTTACGTTATATAGGGTGATCCATTTCAAGGTTCCCTACTTTTTTAAAGAAAAAAACACAGAAACTTCAAATTTAATGGGGAACGTTTAGCATCATTCGAAACCACTTTCTTCCCCATTTATTTTTTGTAGATTATCTCCTTCAAATATTGGTCGTGGCCACGACCACCCGTGAGTCAAATTTTCGATGGCTCGATCGTGCATTTCGATTGCGAATGACACGCGTGATGTTTTACGTATCCCCATAGAAAAAAGTCGAACGGTGTGATATCACATGTTCTTGGTTACCAATCGACCGACCCAAAACGTGAAACTATCTGCTCAGTCACTTCAAGGTTCTTTAATTTTTATATTGATTTTTTGAAGTTCAATTCTTATAATACTTCATAAACACTTCATAAAGAATTCAAAACTCTTTTAGTTCCGTCAGGACACTCAGGATCAACTTTTATCTTTGTTTCTTTATTCTCATTAATTTTATTCAATAATTTTATAGGTTTATTCCCCTGAAGTGTTCTTTCAATAAACCCATTGATTGGGGCGATGAGTGCGAAGCGTCTTATTGAAACCGAGATTATGAGCTTCACATCACAGCTTAACACGATGGCTCATTCGTTTCACCAGCTTCCTTCCGAAAGAAGTACGGGGTGATGAATCTATCAGATCACAACCCACACCAAACTGTGTATTTTTATGAATATAATGGTTGTTCATGAATAATTTTCAGGATTTTCTTTGCACCAGAATCGACAGTTTTGTTTATTTACCACACTACTCAGATGAAAAAGGGCGTCATCGTTTTTAAGTTGATCCAAGGCAAAATCGGCAAATTCACGACTTTTACGGTGGTCTAATGGCTTTAGTTCTTGGGTGAAAACAATTTTATATAGATGCAAGCTCAAATCCTTTTTCAAATTCCGCCTGGTTGTGGTTTGAGACTGTCTTAATTCCTAAATATTTCTCCGAATCTACAAATTGCGGTCTTCAGCAACATTTGCCTGAGCGGCAGGAATATTTTTATTACTCCGAGGGGTTCTTTGTCTTATCCCCCAATCATAGAAATTATATCATCCCTATAAGGAAACCCGGTACCTGTTCATACAACTTCGACCAGTTGTTTGTTCGACCAGTTGTTTGTTCTCTGCAAAGTTTCGTGAATTGAATACAACTTACGAAAGCACCAACAAGTGATCCGAACGCATCAATTAAAGTAGTAAAATCGCTCACAACTTTGCATCCTTTACTATATACCAGTCTATTTGGTATATATCAGCGTTATTGTTCTTCAATTAGCAGGTTATTAAGGGGTTTTAGTATATTGTGAATGAAATCTTTCGCATATATAAGTGAATAAAAGTCTTAAACTTTTTATTAATATTAATATAATTTATTAATCACATATACTGGTGTCGCTAAGTACTTCTCGTAGTACGACCTTCGTGATCCAATTGCAACGCTATTGTAATTAGAAAAACCTGCAACAAGAATAGTCATACCGCTTACTCAGTGTCCTGTGTTACTGTAGTTACTTATTCAATTCCAATAAGAATCAGGTGATCGTTCCTTGCTCTTCCAGAGTAACTCAGAAGTTACGTTATCCGACTCTGCTCAACATACCAGTCAAAGAACTCTCTCACTTGTTGACCGGAAATGTTAAACTTCATTATTAGCTTAAGAATAAAGTTACTTGTTGACGCTACGTTGTCATACATACAGATCGCTCTCCCAGCAATCAACTTACTCTTGCTTTGGAAGTGTTGGCGATGCTGTTAGGTGTTAGTGAAGAACAGAAATGATTACGAGGATGCCCGCTGGACTATTGTGGCTTAACTTATACATTTCTATACTCACTATGTTTGAGTTCTCTGCTATCTGCCAGTCTTCTTGACTTATACCAGTTCCTTCGATTCGGCATTCAGCTAGTTTTGGCAAAGCAATGATAGCTAATATGTGAAAATAAATTAAAATTATTATGTTTTGAGTACATATGTATTTAAAACAAACAAAAAACAGCAAAAACAGTATAATTAGGTAATGTTTATTTACTTGACAACGCTGTTATTTAACATTAATTCGCAAAA